CCGGGCGAGGTGGCGGGCGCCTGTAGTCCCAGCTACTCGGGAGGCTGAGGCAGGAGAATGGCGGGAACCCGGGAGGCGGAGCTTCAGTGAGCTGAGATCTGGCCACTGCACTCCAGCCTGGGCGACAGAGCAAGACTCTGTCTCAAAAGAACAACAACAAAGAAAACAAAGTACATGAAAAAATAAAAAAGCTAACAGTTTTTTCCAGAAAGTACAGGTGTAAAACAAAAGGATATAGTGCAGTTGGAAATGAAAGAATGAAATAAGGAATATCAGAGAATATGAACTAAAAATAAGTAGGGCTAGACTTTTTTTTAACTCTACAAAATAAAATTTAACGTTAAAAATTCACAATGATAAAGAAGGAACCAAAATTTGGAAAAAATAGAACACGAAGATGTAATGATTATGAACACATGGGCACCTAACAATACATTATTGAACACTATTAATGTGCAACTGACAGACTATGGTGACACAGTCTGTGTCATATTTGTTCCTTAAGTTTGTGAATTTTCTAGTTCTTTGATTATTTCTTTTCTTCTTTAGTCTGTGCATTACAGACATTTTTTTCTCTTGTTACTCGATTTTTAGCAGTATTTGAGAATATTTTAAACAGATGGGGAAAAAAAGAATTTATAATAGTCCAAGAATAGTCTAAGTTTTCGCTGTGTGAAAGGTTTTTTACAAAAGTTATCTGAAACAAGGAACCAAAATGAAATTAGAGCACTTGCTGTACCTTTCATTTAATCATTCTCTTTTGTAATTTTTCCCCAAGAAGATATACACATACATTTCCTAATGTTCTAAGCTTCCATGGCAACCTGTGATCTAGAGTAGTAAAAAATCAAAATGTCTTAAAAATCATAGGGGAACATGCACCCAATATTTCATTTCCTCTAAAAACTGACCCTTTGAGTAGCATCCATGAGTTGTGATTTTTTCTTATTTTTTCAGAAAAACCAAAAATGCTACAGAGAGAATCAATTATATGTATACCTAGGTTTTTGAAGGATTCTATTTTTCCATTCCTTATTTCCCTTGACAAAAAATAAAATCTGAAAATGGCAACATAAAATTAGTCAAATAAAGGCATTTTTTGCGTTCTGGTCATGGCGTGACGCAGGGATTGGCCAGCTCTTAAAAAAAAAAAAGGCATCTAAAAAAGAATAAAATGCTTCAATTCTACAGTTTCTTAACCCTTCTACTTAAATATATTTTACCACATATAAAATGTAAACAAAAGTAATAAACATACAATTAAATTAGTATGCATCATAATGCTTTGAATTTTGCACCTTTAGGGGTTATTATTTGCAGAAACCACTTCATGGATTACTTTTGGATTCTAATACCATATTTAGTTGCATATGATTTCTGTTTCATCATACTCTATTTCTGCCTTTGCAATAAAGGAATGTAATAATACAGCAATTAACCACAAATAAAAATATTCATTTTATATGTGAGAAACATTCACTTCTCAATATTCAAAAATGAAGCTATGTAATTAAAATGCAACTCATCTCCACCCACGTTTTCTAAGTAAACTTTGTTAATAAAGATAGATGTGAACTGTTAACTAGGGACACAGAGTACTCCAAAGACTAAATATAGGTGCTTTGTTTCTCCGATCATACCTATATCTTAAATTCCCTCAGCTCCTATCTGTCAGAGAACGGCTGCCAGGTGAGCAGTCTGTCACTCTTGCCTAGGCTAATAGATTCTCCAGTGGCTTTGGTTACAGCTCATGTCATACTATTAAAACTATGTGCCTTGAAAATGGCATAACATATGTAGCTGAATCTTGTCAACTCTAGATAATCAGACTCTGTTTGGCTTCATAAGCAGATGTAGATTAGAGAAGCAATATAATAAATATGCAAACACAGTGGTCCTCTTTCAGCACCGCTGTTCCTACCTCTAATGGCCCTCGCAGAAACTCTGTTTGTTCAGCTCCCACTTCCAGAGCTACATCAACAGAAGCAAAGGGACGGCTGGCCATCTGCTGTCGTTCTCGAAGCAGTTGCTGGAGGGGGTTAAAAATGATTTGTCTTAAAATAGGTTTAAATGCTCATGAAATTCAACAATATCTGGTTCCCTTTTTTAACAAGTGGCATTGAAAAGTTAGGAATCATGTTACACACATATCCATATCTCGAGTACTAAAGATGAAAATTACTTTCTCCCCATGGCCTCGGTTATATGTCCACAGAGGCTTTTAATGTATGGTGCCTACAAATAACTTTTCCCTTGACCTCCATCCTGTAGGTCTAATACAATGTACTCAAAACCACTTTGAAAGTCTCAGGTGAGAGGTGCTACTTGAGTAAAAAGCGTTATTACAATGATGGCTGTGCCAAATTTTCCTACTCAAAATAACTCATACTTTTGTCTTAGCTAAAAAAGAAAAAAACAGTAAAAATATTTAAGAAAAGATAATGAAAAGTTGCCAAAATGCATTAATAGAAATTAAAGGAACATATACCTGACAAGGCTAAGTTTTGTAAGTCATCAGAATCTCCTGTCAACTGCTATGGAACCAGAAGGAATTATTATTGGTAGTGTTTATAATCTTGGTCAAAGCCTTTGTTTATTATTCAGAATGAGGCATGATTAGTAAGTTGAGAAATTGTGTGCAAGAACTTCTAGAGCACCGCCACATACTTGTTTCTTTCTCTTTGTGACTATTCTGGGCTTTGCCCAAGCTAAACCAATAAACTAGCAAGTCACAACCAACTACTAAGCTAATTTATCTTTTTGCCTCTCTTTGTAATTATAATATTCATTAAGTCATGATAAAAAAAAAATTGATGACCAGCACTAGATATTGCAATTTTTGCCCTTTTCATTCTATACAGCTAATAAAATTATTATTAAATATTAAAATAGGATGTGTGATGCAATTAAATACTCTTTAAAATGGGAAGAAAATTATATTATTGAAGAAAGGCAAAATTCTTGAACACAACGAATGGCTTCATTATTCACAGATATTTTTAAAGATTCTCTGTTATTAACTTAAAATGTTAACTACTCATCTTTGAATGTAAATGGATGTAGTCCTGTGAGTGAACATTCATAAAACTCCCTTGTAGATGATAAAGGAACACGGGCCAAATTATTTAAACACAAGTTTATTTATTTAAGCAGAAGTTTAGATAATAAACTGCCATCACACTTTATTATTTAAAATTTTTGTTTTAATAGCTGGTTTTTATTATTAAAAGAGAACAGTCACATGACAATATGGGATAGAAATAATGCAACTGTTAATGAGTAACAATTTAAGTTTGTAGATTACATTTTTTTGAATAAATTCATTTTAAAAATACATATTCAAAGTACAAAGTGAATGTGATCTAAATTTTCAAATTATTCACTTTAATATAACTTCAAAATTATATTATTAAAAATACAGTTCCTGGCAAATAGAATCTGTTTCTGCCTCTCTCAATAGGAATGGGTAATTGATCTGAATAGTATTTCTATGCAAAATGCAAACATAATGTTATTTCAGATGCTGAGGGATAGTAAATGCGGAAGACACCAGGTTCTTTGTCTTTGGTAACAACACATACACCAACATGCCCAGACAACACACACACGAATATACAATCTACCCTTCCTATGATCATGTACAAATAGTCTTGAGAAAATTGTAAATTCCACTTTGTGTTTGAACACAATTTTCTAAGATTTGTATTATCAATTTTCTCCATTTGTATTAGCTCTCCTCAGCATACAAATGGCATCTCATATGACAAGTGATTGCTAGAAAAAATGAACAGCTTCTTTTTCCTCATCTTGCCTTTTCCTTATATCTAAAAGTAAAAAGTCTACAAAATAGAATTAATGAATACTCAATATCGCACATTGTAATATAAATCAGCAAATATTCCAAACTCACAATCGTTGACAAAAAATAGAGTGCCATGGACTATAATCTATTACTGTGCGTCCCAAAACTCATAAAAAAAATCAGTGACTGATACTTTTGTTCAATTTTTAAATTTGTAGAATGCAAAAGTATATTTAAAAATTCTAGTTTGTTTTCTGAGCTTTGTGTTTCCATCACTTTTTAGGAACTGAATGTCTACTAAATTACTTTATATAAAGAACAAGAAAAATATTCTTCCTGCCCAGGACTTTACTACTACAGCTTGTAAAGCAAGTCTGGCAAAATGGAAATAATTAGGTCACAATATAGAGTATTAGTAAAGTTACAAATAAAGAATTAGACAAATAAATTTATTCTGGGTGACCTAGTGGAAGACTGGTGAGAGAGCCCCTGCTGAAACAGCTGAGTTTCTGCCTCTGGGAGACTAATGCAAATGTTCTTACTGTGAAACTTAGGAAGAGAAAATCATTTTCCCCGTAATACTCTTGCTTTAGTGTGATAGCCCTAAAATAATCAAATGGAGTAAATTGTGATGATCTTTGCAAATGATTTCTGCCCTCCTCCCCTATTCTTAACAATTGTCCTACTTTTAAATACCAGTGTCTCCACTTTTTAGCTGTTTGAGCTTAACCAAATTATTTGGACCTCTCTAAGCCTCAATTTTTCTCATCTATAAATAATAATAGTACCTACACTATGCCTATACCTTAGAGGACCTGTTTTAAAGCCCAGCTGTTGCACTTACTAGCAATTGGATCATAATCTCATTACTGAGGCCTTTCACTCATTCTTTCTCTCTATAAAATGGGAATAGCAATAATATCTTTAAGTCATAAGGTTGAGACTAAAGAGATCACACACTTGGGCTGTTCTGCACACAGGCTGGCACATTGTGAGCACTCAATAACTGCTAATTGGTACAATTATAATGTTAAATTTCAAGCACTATTTTTGTCTCCGAAGATGGCACACTAATTACCACAGGCCCATTTTCTTCAGCAATAGTGACACATTTTGCTCTACTAGTCTCCCTTTTAACAAATGTTGCAAATTTATGAGACAGTTGGAAAATGTCATTATTGTGGTAAAATGAATTTAGATTTGGAACTGCCTTCCACCATTTGTGACTAAGAGTGATAAAAACTCAACCTGAAAATTAGGAAAAAATATAGAGTATTTTCTTAAGAAATTTTGAAAATTCATCTATTTTCTAGGATTATGTTTTATATAAAACGAAGTTTAACATTTTGTATACCCATAAGAAGCCATATAGCAGATGTGTCTGTTTTATAACTAATCTGCTATTGCCAATTATTCAGCAGAACAATAAAGCCAAGAGAACAAATTGATCATAATACAATAGATTATAATCATACTGCCATAAACATTGTTGTGAAGAAAATTTAAAAATTAAAGAGATGTTAGTATCTTATTAGTTGTACATAGTAACTGTTTTGCTATTCAAAATCTCATATAAAACAAACCATGGAATTAAAAATGATATGAAAATCAGGCTGGGTGCAGCGGCTCACGCCTGTAAGAACTTTGGGAGGCCGAGGCAGGTGGATCACCTGAGGTCAGGAGTTCAAGACCAGCCTGACCAACATAGTGAAATCCTGTCTCTGCTTAAAAAAAATAAAATAAAATTAGCCAGGCATGGTGGCACATGCCTGTAATCCCAGCTACTCAGGAGGCTGAGGCATGAGAATCACTTGAACCCGGGAGGTGGAGGTTGCAGTGAGCCGAGATTGCATCATTGCACTCCAGCCTGGGCAACAAGAGCGAAACTCCATCTCAAAAAAAAAAAAAAAGAAAAAGAAAAAAAGAAAAGAATACCTATGCTTAAATTTGACTACCAGGTAGAGTCGGGTAGAGTCATTGATTCTATCAAACATGAATGCAGATAATTCTTCAACTTAATACTATTACTTCAAATATGGTATCATTCCCCAAACTTCATACTCGCTACCTTTCCAAATACCGCAAGGCATACAACTCTTTGAATGACTTTAGGATAATAATCCTTAAAACTACACACACATAAAAAACAAAGCAGTAACTAACTCTGCCTGCAATTGGCTTCTAAAATGTTAATAGCATATATAAGTGATATGGGTTGACTGTGTCGCCACCCAAATTTCAACTTGAATTGTATCTCCCAGAAATCTCCCATGTTGCGGGAGGGACCCAGTGGGAGGTAACTGAATCGTGGAGGCTGGTCTTTCCCATGTTATTCTCACGACAGTGAATAAGTCTCATGAAACGGATGGGTTTATCAGGGCTTTCTGCTTCTGCTTCTTCCTCATTTTCTCTTACCGCCACCATGTAAGAAGTGCCTTTGGCCCCCCACCATGATTCTGAGGCCTCCCCAGCCATGTGGAACTGTAAGTCCAATTAAACCTCTTTTTCTTCCCAATCTCAAGTATGTCTTTATTAGTAGTGTGAAAATAGACTAATACAATAATCTTATATATATGTATATACCCATGCATATATAGTACATGTGCATGTCAATGTATGTAGAAAGTATAAGCATGACTATGCATATACATTAAGTAAATTACTATTGAAAGTAAATATATTATCACTCAAAGTAAAATTAAAACAAAAAGTCCAAAATAAGGGATTAAATGATGTCAACAAATGAGGGTCCTGTTGGCATCTGGATAACACTGATTATATAATTCATATGACCAAGACACAGTCTCCACAGATTTTTAGACCTGGTAGGAACCTCACAGATCCTCTAGGCAGGAAATTCTTCAACCTGCAGATCACGGACCTCTAAAGGGCAAATAGATGAGGACTAGAAAAGTTATGAACCTGTCACTAATAGATGATACTTTTAACTTTTTCCCTGCAATTTCAGTGGATTAAATCATTAACTTACTGCTGTCTTCAGAAGTTAACAGCCCCTCATCCTGAACCAAAATGTAACTCTACTTCCTTAAATTCTTTCAAGAAATAAATCAATCAACTCATATTAATGCTTAAAAATAAAACAAAAGGGAGTAAATTCTAAAAGCCAGCAAAACTCCTTTAGATTTACTGACACATTCCTATTTGCTAGATAAGAATTTGAAAATTATCTTCAAGGCAGAATTAGTTCAAAGCTCAGACATTTAATTGGAAACATTTCATTTATTTGTTGTCTTCATGTAGCTCAGTGGTTCCCAAACTTTGTTTTTTCTGTAAACTTTGGTGTATATGCAATGCCACCCATACTCTATACTGAATGATCTTGTTTCTTAAAGATATCAGCCTTACATACTGATTGTAGATCATAACTTCA